TCATCTATTGAATTCGGTACCAATTGTTTATATTTTACCTAGCGGTTACAAAATGTCGGAGATATAAAATAAAAATTGAAGTAGAGATGGCATTATTAACTGGAGAAAGCTCTAGGAAAGATGAACCAGGGTCGAGAAGACGATCGACTCTCTCCCTCGGAAGAAGCTTATTCCTTCTACGGTTCTAATATCTGCGGGTGCGCATGGAAAACTTTTTGCTTCAAATCCAAAAAAAAAAATCTCAATCATCAATGAGCAGCAGAACATACCTGTAAACGGTTCAAGAAGAGAAAAGGCTAGAATGGTTTCACATTCATCTCACGGCACACACACACTTCTCTGTTTCTTTGCATCACTTTTGTAGATTTGTTTCGATTTGCCGAAGTCCTACCCTAGACTGTAGTTTCTTTGAACAACCTACAAATGTGTGAAAGAAACATCATTAGTCTTCAAAAATTAATTACAATTTTTAACTACTGTGATTGAACTTTACACAATGAAACTGTAAATAGAACAATTGGCAGAAGAAGATGTAAGATATAGACCCAAAGTACTCTGTAAATTCAAACAAATACTTAAATGTACACTACGGAGGAAAATCATAGTGAATACTCAAAATGCATTGGTCACCGATTGAGGCAAACCAAAACACCACATACATGATTGGACGAATGATGCACAAATGCATTGGGAACTGTTAAATAAAATTAATTATTAAACAAGATTATACAATAGTATATAAGCCTTTACACATGTAGGTTAAGTGCTTTTTCTTTTGCCTAGGAAATGCACTTAATAGTAATTCTTATCGACCAATGAGTAAACTGTTATTGTAAAGCCTCTTTTGTAATGAGATACTCAATCGGCTCATTATATACATAAGAAAGCTTACTTTTTAAATAGTTGTCTCTCAGCAATGGAAATTTTCTGCCATATACTATCTGTGAAGAAACAGAAACTATATTGTAGGCACAAAGTGCAAGTGTGATCTCCATATTTCCTGAAAGGCTAAAATTGTACAATTGTGAAAAGAAAAGAAAAATCAAATTTTTGAATATTTAATGTGCAAAAACCAAAAGATTGCACCAGGGGTTCTCTTAAAGGAAACATTATACGAAGTGAAATGTACCAAGGGTTCTCTTAAAGATTGCATATTTTGCTTGAACAAACCAAAAAAACCTTCTTGATTGTGAAAAGTGCTACATTGAAGGTCAGCTTTCCCCTAATTCTCTCTCTTAGGTATGAGTCTGTCCAACCAATGTTTCCTGGAGCGTTCAACAAAAAAGTAAAACATATAGCAGAAATCACAACTACCAAAAGATTATACATAGAAACATTAGCAATACCCCTAGGAATGGATATAGGATCCTCCTTTGCCATCTTATATGTGATATAAACTAACAGAGAACATAAGACATGGAGTTGGTTGGGTAATTAAAATTAGTTTTAGGGACCACTTGGATTTTTTCACTTCAAGTTTGGCCCCTTCTTTATGTCTTTGTCATGCTCCATTTATAATATATGCAAGTTAGGAACATCGTACTCCTTAATAATGTTAAATTTACAATACATTCTCATATGGTATATATTAAATTCCTTTGAACTAGCATCCTTTTAAGGAAAACGAGTATTTATCATAATAGGCAAACAAGTATACATTTATTTTATTCCCAAATGTTCACTCATACTCCGTATGTGATTATCTTGAAGTGTAGGGCATGTAAACACGTTGACCAGTAAAAAGAGAAGGTAAAAATGTAGAAACTAGTAAAACCAAAAAGAAACCAAATAAATTTCAAAAAACAATTCATAAACCAACAAAAGATGAAATCAGTAAAACAAAAAAGAGATCAAATTATTTTCAAAAACCAATTCATACACCAACAAAAGGTGAAACCAGTTAAACCATATACACACAACTCAAAGCATTGCACGATTAAATTGATAAATTATGTGTGCTCAAAACTGTACAATTTTACTATCCATCGTGTCACACTAAACTATTAAACAAAAAATTTCATAAGTTATGCAGTGATTTCAAAATTAACAATAGATAATACAATAGATTGCTGAAAAATCATAAGAGTAAATTAGAAGATTAACGAGTAAAGTTCAAAATTACCTTAAACAAAAAGGCATGAACAGAGTGAAGTCATTAGAGTCTAGAGAACAGATAACCTCGAAAATGACATATTGTTCGAGAAACAAAAAATGGAGACTAAAAGAAGCAGATTAAAGTTGTAGTTTTTAAGCAAATCTGCTAATTGATGATTTTAAAAGTAGTTTATGCAGTAACCCAATAAATTGGCCGAAAAAATGTCTCGAACAAAACTCGAATTATAATTTTAGAGATTTCATTTACCTGGAGAAGTGCGATTTTCTAAAAGAACAAGAGAATTAAGGTCAGGGTTGAGCGAGCGGCAAGAGGAGACCGAGCGATGACCGAGCGGCAAGAAACGAGTGACGAAGACCGACGGGCAAGTGGCGACCGAGCGACGAACGAGCGGCAAGAGGAGACCGAGCGACGAACGAGCGGCAAGAGGAGACCGAGCGACAACGGAGCGACGAGCTCTGAGAAAATCTGATGCGCTACGAGGGATGTGTTAGGGTTAATGCCTTTCACAATGTAGAAGTTAAAAGGGAGCCTAAACTTTTGGGTTGACAAAATGTAACTTCATCTTATTTTCATTTCTAAGTATTTAATTTATAAAATCATGATTAAATATAAATCAGGAACAACGATGACCATATACCGAGTAAACAACGACATATTTTAATATGGTCGTTAATAATAAATTTAGTAACGACAGACATATTAGTTGATGTTAAAGCATACTTTTTACGACGATTTGTAAGAATCGTTGTTATATAGTGGTCGTTAAAAATCCTTTTTCTAGTAGTGATAAATAGGGTGAAAACAGATCCCTTGGCGTAGCTCCTTCCTTGGCGTAATTAGTCTCAGATAATCCTTATCAAACTAAATGTAATAACTCACGGTAGAGATGCATATCATAACTATATCCACCAATTTGGGACTAAAGCCCATTCGTAGCATAATTTCTTTTAGAAAATTCCAACTGACCTTGTCGTATGCCTTGCTCATATGTCAAGTTAAGAGTCACAATAATGTTATCAACTATAGATCTCCCAGGGGATAAAGACACTTTGATTTTCCCCCACCAGACCAACCAAAATACCCTTCAGCCAATTAGGTATGACCTTTGAAAATATTTTATAAACAGCATTACACAGGGCTATCTGTCTCCAGTCTCCCATATTTTGAGGCTTCTCCTTCTTAGAGATTAAAACAATACTAGTTACATTTAATTCATTTGGAAGAAACCATGTTTCGAAAACACCTGAACACAAGCTAGTCACCTTCGGCCCCACAATATCCCAGAATTTCTGAAAGAAAGCTGTATTCAACCCATCCGACCTCGGTGTTTTTTCCGGATACATGTCGAAAATAGTTGCCTTAACCTCCTCCGGGCTAATCGCCCATAATAATCCCAAATTTTGCAAAATTTCAGACCAGTCTTGATCCTCGGTCCCTCCCTGGAACAAGGTCTCAAAATAGTCCTTCACCATTTCCTCCATTTTTCCCTGTTCGTGGCCCAAGTGTTGCAGCCGTACGCAGCCTTAAAACTTTATTTCTTCTTCGACGTTGTGGGAAGGGGTAAGGTAGGGGTATGGGGTAATATACGAGGTGGGGGTAGGGTTAGGGTCGGGGTGGGGTTGAGGTGGTAGGGGGTGGCGGTAGGGTAGGGTGGATCAAGGTGGGACCGAGGTACGGGCATGTTGTAGGGGGTGGGGGTAGGGTAATTGTAGGGAAAAGGGGTATGCGGGGTGGGGGTTGGGTGGGTAGGGTAGGGTAGGGGTAAGAGGTAAGGTATGAGGATGTAGGTACTAGAATTGAATTAACACCGGAGCAGGACCGGCCGACCACTAGGTCGTAAGTTGCAAATTTATTGCAGTGGCTTGTAGCATCTGCGTTTTCCAAATTTGGAAGACTAGTAAAAGTCACTTCTCCAAATCATTAAGAAAAAGAGAGATATGTCTCATTTTTTTCGTTTTGGAAAACGGTTTGGTAAACGCGTTTTTCTGTTTTCCTTTCTCCAGTTTTCCAGCAATTTTCTTAGATAAACACATTTCCTATTTTCTGTTTTCTAGTTTTTCAGTTTTCTAAAAAACTGGAAAATATCTCTGTTAGTAAACAGACCCTTATATTTTCTTCATATATGCTTTAATGCAGATCTTATTACATACTGTCGTAGCTTATAAGAGGTTCTTTGAAATTACGACTCAGCTATGAAAACTGTTGGGATCAACCCTCAATAGATAACCAGCTCATTTAACTTGGTTGGCCTCATCAACCTACTAGCTAGGATGACCCTGTTTTGACCTCTTTTAATTAAGAAGTGCTCAATATTTCATTGGATCCCGCCTTGTCTAGTAGTAACTACAACCTTCTAAATATGTACGCCTCAGGCAACAATATATGAAAGGATGAGGGCATGTTAGCTCACGGGTACGTAGATAGATGGGACAAGAATGTGATACATTTTTATTCACAGAGAATTTGAATTTGCACTTCATTTTTTCAAGGGATAAGGGTCAGATAAGGCCTCGAACTTGAAAAAAAATGTCAAATAAAGCCATATTCAAGATGCTCTGTCCGGCCAACGCCATTTGGGGCGGTTCCCGGTGGAATTTTTTGATGATTTTTTTTAGAATCATATTCATTAAGTCTAGTTTACTCATATCAAATTTGAACTAAAATTTCAATCGGGAAGACATTCAAATGAATTCTTGAAGATAACTGCTCTTTTAACTGCGCAGTTATCTTCAAGAATTCATTTGTATGCCTTCCCGATTCAAGTTTTAGTTCAAATTTGATATGAATAAACTAGACTTAATGAATACGATTCTCAAAAAATTTCATCAAAAAATTCCACCGGGAACCGCCCCAAATGGCATCGGCCAGACAGAGCATTCTAAATATGGCCTTATTTGACATTTTTTTTCAAGTTTGAGGCCCTATCTGACCCTTATCCCTTTTTTCAATGATATTTAGAGGCCGTTTGGCAACCCTCATTTTCGGTTTATCAGGCTTATCAGCCAACTTTTTTACCAAACACGTAAACTTTGTTTTTGCGCGCTGAATTGTGTAATAAGTCGAAAAAGTAAGGTTGAAGTAACTTTTCTGGCTGTATTGGCTGAAGTTACTGTAGATGATCATTTTAGCTATTTTTACATATAATTTTTTCTTTATTTTATTAATAAAATATATTTTAAAATATTTTTTTCTTGTATCAGCAGAATCAGCCAATGCAGCCACCTCAGCCAGAACTTCATAAATTTCAGCAGAATTAGCCAAAACAGCCGATTTTCGTGCTACCAAACGGGCTCTTAGTTTTACATCTATTTTCAAAATTCTCTTTTAATGAAAATGAAACTTTTAATATTAATTTGTTATACATCTAAATTTGATTGTTGAGATTAAACATAACTTTTAATGAAAATTTTGATATACAAATTTTATCATTCATAAAGTCTAAATAATACTGTACATAGTACTTTCTCACCAGTATGATTAACGAATACAATAATTTATTCCAATCCATCAATTAAATTCACATTTCAACTTTCGCGTTTCCAAATTCCAACATTGACCACTATCCACCAATATATAAAAATATACACTTGTAAAATTTATAATAAACTACAACGAACATCAAATGCTCCGTATTAAAATGAAATGTTCAAAAAAATTGATAAAAGGTATTACATGCAGTTTTTGAATGGCCAAAGTCAACAAAGTTTTGACTCAAAAAACAAAATCAAAAATTACTCTGTAATTAATCGTGTGATCAATTGGGATGGAGCTGAGGGAGTACGTATTTGTATTTCGTTTTGTATCATAGCATATTTTTTTATTTTAAATACACAAATATACGCAACTCCTAACAATAAAATACCCAATCGAAATAAAAGATGCCAATAATGAAATACGAGAAGAAATCGAAAAGTCACTATCTTGCAGGTACATTGCTTGCTAGGAGAGAGTTGAACGTAACATTATCGGGCCGTCACCACTAAATTGACAGCACTCTCTCAACCGCTACCGACCAACCGTGAATTCGGCGGGAAAAACCTCGCTTCTTTCTCCTCCTGCATTTCAGACGGAATATTCGGCTCGCCTAAACCGCCGGCCTGACAAGACGGATTTGGTTCTCATGACAAACTTTTTTTCTGAACCGTAGCTTGACCGGACCGTGCCATAATATCGGCCGGCCTAAGTACCTAATAATTAACGAAAATTTCATAAATAAGAGTCCAATACATTTATCAAATACGAGTACTAGTTTGGGCTATGGGCAAGGCTTCAATCGTTATCACAAGATACTCCATCAAGTCCTTAATTAATTTTACACTTTCCTATTTGGTCGTTCCATATTAAACTTTACACTTCCTTATTTACCTTATTTGGCAAACAAATCTACACCAAACAGTGCAAAACAGAGCTAAACAGTATCAAACAGTGTCAAACAGTGTACTCTACAGTAAAGTCAAATTTATTTTCTTAATATATGTGAAGTCAAAGTGTAAAGTTTAATAAGGACCGGAGGGAGTATAAGTTATAGGTAAAATTCCGGAATGGTTAAAAACATTTCAAAATTCCAAAATAAGACTGTCATGTTTTTATTCTCAAAATATGAGTAATTACTGTAAAGTTTGAAAAATACTGTTATGTTTAAAGTTTGATACTTTTAAAATATGACTGTAATTGATCTGAATTTGCGAATAAAAACATGACAATCCTACTTTTTAAAATGCAAACGTTTTTAATTCTCTATTGGATAATTTTAGAAGTATAACTTTAAGTCACAAGAGGCTCTTATTTTGTGTGATGTTCAAATAGTCAAACTTCTTCATCAAATATTAAAACTCTTATTTTTTTTCTAAAATAAAACTCACTCACCCTTGATAGGAAGAATATTTATTGTTTTTATTATATATCAATAGTACTAGATAAGTTTTATTTTAAAAATAACACATATGCTCCTATTTTTGCACTTTTTCATGTTTTAATTTTATTTTGGGAAATTTCTTATTTTCCCTTATTTCTCATATAATTCAAATGAGATATTACCCGAAATTTGACTAAAACAGTTTGAAAATTCCAAAATAGACTGACATGTTTAGAAAATACTGTCATATTTGAAGTCTGGTACTGCCAAAACATGTCAGTAATTAGTCCTATTTTGGGAATAATAAGATGAAACTATTTTAATCCTATTTTAGGAACTTTCCCAATTCAAATTTGTCAATAACCAAGAAAAGAGTTGGCTTTTTAGGAAAATTACCTTGTTTTAACCATTAGCTTCTGATTAATTAAGCCACGGCAACATTTGGCTTTCCATGATCTTCATGAATCGCGATGGAATTCTTGCAATGAGCAATAGCAGCTTGGATAGCAGCTTGCAGTTCTTCCATCGTGCTATCACTCGACGCCTTTGACTTCGACGGCGGTTTGGCCACCAGAAGGCCGCTGTTGGTCGGGGACGTTCTGGTAGATGCGGGTGCAGAATACTCCCCTCTCAACCCTCCGCTAAACGCCGACGATCTTCTGCTCGTGATATTATTATCACTTCTGCTGATCCCTCTCGTCACATTTATACTCCCAGAAGAAAAAGAATGAGCTTTCCGGTCGGCGGTTTCCACCTTCCGCCTCTCTCTCTTTATCCCGCCACCGCCGCCGTTCTTGAACGACGACAAGAGGGGTCTCACCATTCTCATGTACCTCTTCACGACTTGGGTTACATCCCATCTCAGCTTCCTCCATTGCTTTTCCTTCTCTTCTTTCCTTTGCCCTTCTCTAATGAGAGTTGGACAATCGGACTGATCTTTTCGCCGTTTCGGTAGCCGGAAAATGGAGAAGGCGGAGGATTTCGCCGGTTTGGGTGCTTTTGGATCTTTGGGTATTTGAGTGTTGGCTGGTTTTTGCAAGTTTTTTATATTCTTGTCATGTAAGTAGTCCTTTATGGGAAGGGCGAAACTGTCGTTGGAGTTGGTGGAGGAGCGGGCGGAGACGGGGAGGTGGGAGAGGAGGCGGAGGGGGAGGAGGTGCCCGTGGAAGAATATCTCATCTGCCGGAGACAAATCGTCTTCGAGTGCGGTGAAGGAAGGTGTGGGTGGCTTGGTGGTTTTGAGTCCCTCATCCGGCGGGGCGGGGATTTTTGTGGAGGATGAGGGGTGGAGGGTTATGGTGAAGGAGAACTCGTCATCAGAAGGACAGGAGGATGACAAATGAGGTGGCGAGGCGGCGTTTTGCGGCGGCGGTTGTGATGGCGGCTCTTCTGGTTTTGTTCTTCTTCGTTGGGTGTTTTGGATGGTCATCTTGAAATTGTTTTGTGTGTTCTTATTTTCTGGAGGTTTGCTGTGAGTTGGGGTGTTGGGGTGTTCTTTTGCCATATACGGACTATGATGGTTTGAGAATGTATTGTATAGTAATAGTATGGGAGGCGGACTCCCTCTTAAATATGGAGTATCTCAATAATTTCCCTTTTCCATGATTTTTTCTTTTTTTATTGAGAAGAAAAAAGACGAGGATAGATAAGGCAGGTGAGAGAATTTGGAAAGGGGGGGGGGGGGGGGGGGGGGGGCGTCTTTCATATTTCAAGGATGTTCTTTTTAGGTTTTCTTGAGGTAATGTGTCATGCAATAGAACCAATTCAACAAACAAACAATAATGGAGACTTGGATAGATATTCAAATGAATCACATTCCACCGTAAATTCCTTCTCATGCATGGATTGAAGCTTTCAAGATGAATTTGGGAGACTTTTCTCTGTTCAGTTGGTCGTGGTGGGAGATTTGGATCATTGGACCAAGGTTCGAATCCCCGCAGCGATCGGCTGGAGGTCACAGAACCTGAAATAAGGCTGTGCCTCTGGTGCGCACAGGTGTATGAGCCTACTGCCATTTACACTATTCACATGATCTATTTTGACTACATTTTACGATATTATTTTATGAAAATTATTTAAAAAAATTATTCAATTCATCTTATTACAAATTTTGAAAATCTGATTTTTAATATATTTTTTACTAATAGAATTAAGATATAATTACGGTCAAAGTCGTGTGTTGTCAAATGTGAAATGTTGATCGTTACAACTAAAAAAAGAACGAAGGGAGTAAAATTTAGGATTGGCATGAAGTAGATGATTTTGGTTGCAAGTCATCAGTGTTGTGGTGATTGGGTGTACAAATTAAAATCGAGAGCTGAGTCCGACATTCCAATACCCTCTCATCTGAAATGTCAAGCCAACATCCTTAATCTTCTCAAAGAAGGTACATTGTCCACTTCAGGGAGTTATGGAGGCCTATTTGAGGCTTAATAGTTCATATTTAGAGATCATGTCGTACAGGTTCAGGGTATAGATGCATTTAATTCATAAATAATGTTACACATGAATGATCAACGATGGAATATATGAATTCGAACCCTCACTCTTGTGATTATTGAGTTTGAACAATGATCCACACACGTTGAGAAAATAGCTTTTATATCAACTATGGCTGGAGCGTAGTTAGGGGAGGGCCAGCCCTGGTTCTGGCCCAGCCCAAATTTTAAAAATGTGTAATTTTTTAGTGTAAAACGTTTCGTATGAAAATTTTTTCAAAAATATTCTTTGTACCGACTCAGTCCGGTTCAGTGCCCTGACTCCGCCTCTGAACTATGGGCCTTTTATGTGAGTGAGTCTGCCTAACCATATTAGTGGTTCCACTCTAATTTTTCTTATAAATATATACTCCTCTTGGAGCTATGTAAAAGAACACATTCTCATTACTCACAAATTAACCGCAATAAGATATAAATGCTACTCATCTTCTTATTTACGGAGTATTGTTTTATTCTCTCTAAATTGTTACTCGGCCCTAATATTCATCAATTAGTGTAAATGTAAAAAGAGGAAACACTAGATGAGATATACTCTATTACGGAGTACATATAATAATAAAGGGGTACCCTAGCTTAAACTCGCACAGGTAGCTCAGTTGGTTCGGTGGTTGGAAATTTGAAACAATGACCAAGGTTCGAAACTCGCAACGACCGTGTGGAGGTTAGTGCTTCTGCGTGTTGGGCTGGACCTCTGGTGCGCACGGGTAAAAGGTTTACCATCATTGGGCCGACTGAGTCACCGTCAGCCCACCCTAGGGCTAGGGGGTGCCCGTGCCCCTGCGGTGATTTATATATATATATATATATATATATATATATATATATATATATATATATATATATATATATATATATATATTGGAAAATTCTCAGGTTCAGCACCTCCCGGTCCGAATGCCGTCCGAACACCGCCGTTTGGGGCGGTTCCAGGTGGAATTTTTTGATGAATTTTTTTGAGAATGTTTCTCATTAAGTCTAGTTTATCCATACCAAATTTCAGGTCAAAATTCGACCGGGAAGGCAGTCAAATAATTCGTTGAAGTTAACTGTGTTTTTCTATGTATAATTTGGTGCAGTTAACTTCAACGAATTATTTGACTGCCTCCCCGATCGAATTTTGAGCTGAAGTTTGGTATGGATAAACTAGACTTGATGAGGAACATGCTCAAAAATTTTCATCAAAATATTCTTCCGGGAACCGCCCCAAACGCCGGTGTTCGGACGGCGTTCGGACAGAAAAGTGCTGGACAGAAAAGTTATGCCGATTGAGACTTATGATGTTAATATTAGAGATGAGTTGAGGAGACGTTATTTGAGAAAAGGTCCTTGCCAACCGTGTGACTTTAAATTTTCACAAAGTGGTTTTAATGGGTGCAACAGATCATTCCAAAAACAGTGATTTTATTTAAATTTTATAGTTTTGTTTATTGCTATACTCGTGATGCATATGATTTTTTTCTAGACTAGTATATCATTTCTTTGTTATTGTGCCCCTACGAGTCACGAGTCCTGATTCCGCCACTGGTCACCGTGACTTACCTCCTCTCAAAACTTATGTCGGGTCGGGGTGTGGGAGGCTTCTGGGGTGAGAGATTCCACCTTTTGGAACAAGGGGTACTCTAGCTTAATGTTACATCCTTTTTGGGGTTATCTGAAAATAATTTATCATGATGTTTTTTGAAAGGATGAGATTTTTTTCTAGCTGAAATAAAATCCGTGTTACAAATGATAAATTGTACTCCGTATTAGACTTATTTTTCTTAATTAAAAAAGAGTGGACATGTCTCAAAACATCACTAATGTGTAGACTTCGTATGCATGTGTAGTACAATTATTAAAATAAAATAATTCTTTCATAAGAAGTACAAAATTTTGCAAAATTGAAAAGAGTCAAGAAAAAGTGAAATTCATTCTCTTGGGAAAGAAATATCAGGATATGACAAACATATGTATAGCCAAATCGTATAATGCAGGACCACAATTGCTTTCTCAAAGTATATATGGGATCAACGTAACTCCTAATAATGAATCAATAACTATATATTGCTCCTTGAGTTTCAATGTTTCATTTTATATGATCTTTTATTGAAGGAATAGTCAATTCCATTTTCATCTATTTTATTTGTATAGATATACATATATATCAATTTCATGTTATATTTAAAAAAATAGTATAGTTTTTATAAAAAAGTTTAAATCTGTGGTATTAATTAACTACTCCGTACAATAGGATTTATTTTAGTTTCAATTCAACCTCATAAAATATGAATTACGGAGTACGCAGAATTATAACACTCCAGTGACCGAAACAAGGTAGGGTAATTTTAATTTTAAATGGAGCATAATTATATATCGACTCGTACATATTACTTCCTCCGTTCCGTTGGAATGTTTCCGGTTTGACCTACACACATATTAAGGAAATAAACTTACCATGGGGTAAATTTTACTGTTTTGACACTATTTCGACACTGTTTGGCACTGTTTCAACACTGTTTGACATTGTTTTGCACTGTTTGACCCTGTTTTGATGTACAATAACTTTCCATTTAGGGAAATAGGAAATTTCCAACGGGACATTCAAAAAAGGAAAGCGGGAACATTCCAACGGGACGGAGGGAGTATTTGCTCTGGGCATGACTACGGTCGACAATGGCCTGTCTCAATTTGTGCGTGAAGAATTTATGATATAGTAAAATAAGAATAACTTAAATATAAATTTTGGCATGGAGGGAGGGTCCTTTTCATAGACGAATAAATAAATAGGTGTAGTGTGGTAATTACGGACGGACTCGAAAATGATGAAAAATCTTTTGTTTTCGGGCTAAAACCCAAAAACCGCAGGTTCCATGTCAAGCTACATAAATTTTGTGAATCTAGAGTGTTCGTACTACAATTTTGTAAGCTAGCTAGCCTTTGTCTACCCATAATTCATCTATCATACACAAATAATCAGAGGCGGAGCCGGAAAAATGTGTGAGCGGGGTCGAAATTTAATAATATATAGTATCAAAATAACGGATAATTATTATACAATATTTGAGTTAAATGTTTCATATGTAACTGAGATAAATGGTAGTTTTATTTTTAAATTTAAGAATATAATCAACGTCACACATCAAATTTTGTTTATTTCAAATTTAGATGATGTTGATTTTTCCAGAAGTCATAACTTTTTACTCGTAATGAGTTACGGGACCCATAATATATCAAATCGAAGGTATTTCAAAGCTCTACATTCTTGAACTGTCAGCGGGGTCGGCTGACCACCCCGACCCCCCTTGGCTCCGTCCCTGCAAATAATACTCCCTCCATCCCAGAATTTACTTCCATAGTACAAATGGCACACGGATTAAGAAAGTGGGAATTGTGTAGTGGAGAGTTGTGCATAGGAGAGAGAAATGTGTAAGAATATGTAAGAATTGTTGTGAACCACAAATTCTTTGCCAAAAAGGGAAAGAGAAGTTCTTTTTGGGACAGACGAAAAGAGAAAGTTGGAAGTAAATTAAGGGACGGAGGGAGTAGTTTTTATTCTTTCATTCATCCCATATATTTATGACAGATATGGTTTTAGTCTTTAGAAAACATAATGTTTATTACGGAGTATTTTACATCCTTAAAAATTATTGTTTTTTGTTTTTCATTTGTGTGATATATGTTTTTCTTTTAGTCCAAAATCGATCATAACAATCTTCATTTAATAACGAAATAACTCTGACTAATAGATTTCCTTTCATTCATTGGCATGTCACCCAAAACATATGTAATTTTATTTTTTAGAAGGTCATTAAAATTGATTTTGAAATGAAAATAATTAACTTAATATTGTTTTAATTAACTCTTATATTAGACTAAAAATTATAAAAATACTCGTATATTCAATATTTTCTATTAAATTTATGCAACCGACATTCTTTCTAATTAAAAGGAGTGGTCTAGATATATACTAGTATTAATGAAAGGGAAAAATGAAAGAAACTAAAACAAAATTTATCATATTTATACATATGTTTATTTTTTATTTTAGTGTGAACATGTTACTATATTAGGTTGTTCATCGTTGCACACAGAGATACGTCTGGATTTTTTGCTAGAATTTAATG